GGGCAGGCACGGCCGTCGTCGCGCGCGCCGAACTTTTCTGTGCGCGCGAACCAAACTGAAGTTGCTCTGGTAGGTGTATTTGAACATGGGCCACCCGAATATGCAACAATATTCGGGTCGTTGGATGCTTTTCCCTACGCCTATAGGGATCCGTGGGCTTCTTTAGCATTTGTGTGCAGGCACGGCCGACGTCGCGGGCGCCGAACTTTTCTGTGTGAGCGAACCAAGTTGAAGTTGCTCTGGTAGGTGTATTTGAACATGGGCCACCCCAATATGCAACAATATTCGGGTCGTTGGATGCTTTTCCCTATGCCTTATAGAGATCCGTGCACTTCCTTAGCATTTGTGTGCAGGCACGGCCGTCGTCGTAGGCGCCGAACTTTTCTGTGCGCGCGAACCAAGCTGAAGTTGCTCCGGAAGGTGTATTTCAACATGGGCCACCCGAATATGCAACAATATTCGGGTCGTTGGATGCTTTTCCCTACGCCTATAGGGATCCGTGAGCTTCCTTAGCATTTGTGTGCAGGCACGGCCGTCGTCGCGGGCGCCGAACTATTCTGTTCTCGCGAACCAAGCTGAAGTTGCTCTGATAGGTGTATTTGAACATGGGCCACCCCAATATGCAACAATATTTGTGTCGCTGGATGCTTTTCCTTACGCCTATAGGGATCCGTGCACTTCCTTAGCATTTGTGGGCAGGCACGGCCGTCGTCGCGGGCGCCGAACTTTTCTGTGCGAGCGAACCAAGTTGAAGTTGCTCTGGTAGGTGTATTTGAACATGGGCCACCCCAATATGCAACAATATTCGGGTCGTTGGATGCTTTTCCCTACGCCTTATAGAGATCCGTGCGCTTCCTTAGCATTTGTGTGCAGGCACGGCCGTCGTCGTAGGCGCCGAACTTTTCTGTGCGCGCGAACCAAGCTGAAGTTGCTCCGGAAGGTGTATTTGAACATGGGCCACCTGAATATGCAACAATATTCGGGTCGTTGGATGCTTTTCCCTACGCCTATAGGGATCCGTGAGCTTCCTTAGCATTTGTGTGCAGGCACGGCCGTCGTCGCGGGCGCCGAACTATTCTGTTCTCGCGAACCAAGCTGAAGTTGCTCTGATAGGTGTATTTGAACATGGGCCACCCCAATATGCAACAATATTTGTGTCGATGGATGCTTTTCCTTACGCCTATAGGGATCCGTGCACTTCCTTAGCATTTGTGGGCAGGCACGGCCGTCGTCGCGGGCGCCGAACTTTTCTGTGCGAGCGAACCAAGTTGAAGTTGCTCTGGTAGGTGTATTTGAACATGGGCCACCCCAATATGCAACAATATTCGGGTCGTTGGATGCTTTTCCCTATGCCTTATAGAGATCCGTGCGCTTCCTTAGCATTTGTGTGCAGGCACGGCCGTCGTCGTAGGCGCCGAACTTTTCTGTGCGCGCGAACCAAGCTGAAGTTGCTCCGGAAGGTGTATTTGAACATGGGCCACCCGAATATGCAACAATATTCGGGTCGTTGGATGCTTTTCCCTACGCCTATAGGGATCCGTGGGCTTCCTTAGCATTTATATGCAGGCACGGCCGACGTCGCGGGCGCCGAACTTTTCTGTGCGCGCGAACCAAGCTGAAGTTGCTCTGGTAGGTGTATTTGAACATGGGCCACCCGAATATGCAACAATATTCGGGTCGTTGGATGCTTTCCCCTACGCCTATAGGGATCCGTGCGCTTCCTTAGCATTTGGGGGCAGGCACGGCCGTCGTCGCGGGCGCCGAACTTGCGCCGAACTTTTCTGTGCGCGCGAAACAAGCTGAAGTTGCTCTGGTAGGTGTATTTGAACATGGGCCATCTGAATATACAACAATATTGGGGTCGTTGGATGCTTTCCCTTACGCCTATTGGGATCCGTGCGCTTCTTTAGCATTTGGGGGCAGGCACGGCCGTCGTCGCGGGCGCCGAACTTTTCTGTGCGCGCGAACCAAGCTGAAGTTGCTCTGGTAGGTGTATTTGAACATGGGACACCCGAATATGCAACAATATCTGGGTCGTTGGATGCTTTTCCCTACACCTATAGGGAGCCGTGCGCTTCCTTAGCATTTGGGGGCAGGCACGGCCGTCGTCGCGGGCGCCGAACTTTTCTGTGCGCGCGAACCAAGGTGAAGTTGCTCTGGTAGGTGTATTTGAATATAGGTTACCCGAATACGCAACAATATTGGGATCGTTGGATGCTTTTCCTTACGCCTCGAGGGATCCGTGCGCTACCTTAGCATTTGTGGGCAGGCACGGCCGTTGTCGCGGGCGCCGAACTTTTCTGTGCGCGCGAACCAAGCTGAAGTTGCTCTGGTAGGTGTATTTGAACATGGGCCACCCGAATATGCAACAATATTCGGGTCGTTGGATGCTTTCCCCTACGCCTATAGGGATCCGTGCGCTTCCTTAGCATTTGGGGGCAGGCACGGCCGTCGTCGCGGGCGCCGAACTTGCGCCGAACTTTTCTGTGCGCGCGAAACAAGCTGAAGTTGCTCTGGTAGGTGTATTTGAACATGGGCCATCTGAATATACAACAATATTGGGGTCGTTGGAGGCTTTCCCTTACGCCTATTGGGATCCGTGCGCTTCTTTAGCATTTGGGGGCAGGCACGGCCGTCGTCGCGGGCGCCGAACTTTTCTGTGCGCGCGAACCAAGCTGAAGTTGCTCTAGTAGGTGTATTTGAACATGGGCCACCTAAATATGCAACAATATCCGGGTCATTGGATGCTTTTCCCTACGCCTATAGGGATCCGTGCGCTTCATTAGCATTTGGGGGCAGGCACGGCCGTCGTCGCGGGCGCCGAACTTTTTTGTGCGCGCGAACCAAGCTGAAGTTGCTCTGGTAGGTGTATTTGAACATGGGACACCCGAATATGCAACAATATCTGGGTCGTTGGATGCTTTTCCCTACACCTATAGGGAGCCGTGCGCTTCCTTAGCATTTGGGGGCAGGCACGGCCGTCGTCGCGGGCGCCAAACTTTTCTGTGCGCGCGAACCAAGCTGAAGTTGCTCTAGTAGGTGTATTTGAACATAGGTTACCCGAATATGCAACAATATTGGGATCGGATGCTTTTCCTTACGCCTCGAGGGATCCGTGCGCTTCCTTAGCATTTGTGGGCAGGCACGGCCGTTGTCGCGGGCGCCGAACTTTTCTGTGCGCGCGAACCAAGCTGAAGTTGCTCTGGTAGGTGTATTTGAACATGGGCCACCCAAATATGCAACACAATTCGGGTCTTTGGATGCTTTTCCCTACGCCTCTAGGGATCCGTGTGCTTCCTTAGCATTTGTGGGCAGGCACGGCCGTCGTCGCGGGCGCTGAACTTTTCTTTCCGCGCGATCGAAGCTGAAGTTGCTCTGGTAGGTGTATTTGAACATTGGCCACCTGAATATGCAACAATATTCGGGTCGCTGGATGCTTTTCCCTACGCCTATAGCGGGATCCGTGCGCTTCCTTAGCATTTGTGTGCAGGCACGGCCATCGTCGCGGGCGCCGAACTTTTCTGTGCTCGCGAACCAATCTGAAGTTGCTCTGGTAGGTGTATTTGAACATGGGCCATCCGAATATGCAACAATATTCGGGTCGTTGGATGCTTTTCCCTACGCCTATAAGGATCCGTCCTCTTCCTTAGCATTTGTGTGCAGGCACGGCCGTCGTCGCAGACGCCGAACTTTTATGTGCACGCGAACCAAGCTGAAGTTGCTTTAGTAGGTGTATTTGAACATGGGCCACCCGAATATGCAACAATATTCGGGTCCTTGGATACTTTTCCCTACGCCTATACGGATCCGTGCGCTTCCTTAGCATTTGTGTGCAGGCACGGCCGTCGCCGCGGGCGCAGAACTTTTCTGTGCGCGCAAACCAATCTGAAGTTACTCTGGTAGGTGTATTTCAACATGGGCCACCCGAATATCCAACAATATTCGGGTCGTTGGATGCTTTTTTCTACCCCTATAGGGATCAGTGCGCTTCCTTAGCATTCGTGTGCAGGCATGGCCGTCGTCGCCGAACTTTTCTGTGCGCGCGAACCAAGCTGAAGTTGCCCTGATAGGTGTATTTGAACATGGGCCACCCGAATATGCAACAATATTCGGGTCGTTGGATGCTTTTCTCTACGCCTATAGGGATCCGTGCGCTTCCTTAGCATTTGTGTGCAGGCACGGCCGTCGTCGCGGGCGCCGAACTTTTCTGTGCGCGCGAACCAAGCTAAAGTTGCTCTGCTAGGTGTATTTAAACATGTGCCACCCGAATATGCAACAATATTTGGGTCGTCGGATGCTTTTCCTTACGCCTATATGGATCCGTGCGCTTCCTTAGCATTAGTGTGCAGGCACGGCCGTCGTCGCGGGCGCCGAATTTTTCAGTACGCGTGAACCAAGCTGAAGTTGCTCAGGTAGGTGTATTTGAACATGGGCCACCCAAATATGCAACAATATTCGGGTCGTTGGATGCTTTTCCTTACGCCTATAGGGATCCGTGTGCTTCCTTAGCATTTGTGTGCTGGCATGGAAGTCGTCGCGGGCGCCGAACTTTTCAGTGCGCGCGAACCAAGCTGAAGTTGCTCTGGTAGGTGTATTTGAACATGGGCCACCCGAATATGCAACAATATTTGGGTCGTTGGAGGCTTTTCCTTACGCCTATAGAGATCCATGCACTTCTTTAGCATTTGTGGGCAGGCACGGCCGTCGTCGCGGGCGCCAAACTTTTCTGTGCGCGCGAACCAAGCTGAAGTTGCTCTTATATGTGTATTTAAACATGGGTCCCCCGAATATGCAACGATATTCGGGCCGTTGGATGCTTTCCCTACGCCTATATGAATCCGTGCGCTTCCTTAGCATTTGTGTGCAGGCACGGCCGTCGTCGCGGGCGCCGAGCTTTTCTGTGCGCGCGAACCAAGATGAAGTTGGTCTGGTAGGTGTATTTGAACATGGGCCACCCAAATATGCAACAATATTCGGGCCGTTGGATGCTTTCCCTACGCCTATATGGGTGATGGAAAGCGGGAGAATGGGGCGGGTTTATGGAAAGCGGGCGAATGGGGCGGGGTGATGGAAAGCGGGAGAATGGGGCGGGGTGATGGAAAGCGGGAGAATGGGGTGGGGTGATGGAAAGCAGGAGAATGGGGCGGGGTGATGGAAAGCGGGAGAATGGGGCGGGGTGATGGAAAGCGGGAGAATGGGGCGGGGTGATGGAAAGCGGGAGAATGGGGCGGGGTGATGGAAAGCGGGAAAATGGGGCGGGGTGATGGAAGGAGGGAGAATGGGGCGGGGTGATGGAAGGAGGGAGAATGGGGCGGGGTGATGGAAAGCGGGAGAATGGGGCGGGGTGATGGAAAGCGGGAGAATGGGGCGGGGTGATGGAAAGAGGGAGAATGGGGCGGGGTGATGGAAGGAGGGAAAATGGGGCGGGGTGATGGAAAGCGGGAGAATGGGGCGGGGTGATGGAAAGCGGGAGAATGGGGCGGGGTGATGGAAAGCGGGAGAATGGGGCGGGGTGATGGAAAGCGGGAGAATGGGGCGGGGTGATGGAAAGCGGGAGAATGGGGCGGGGTGATGGAAGTAGGGAGAATGGGGCGGGGTGATGGAAAGCGGGAGAATGGGGCGGGGAGATGGAAGGAGGGAGAATGGGGCGGGGTGATGGAAGGAGGGAGAATGGGGCGGGGTGATGGAAAGCGGGAGAATGGGGCGGGGTGATGAAAAGCGGGAGAATGGGGCGGGGTGATGGAAAGCGGGAGAATGGGGCGGGGTGATGGAAAGCGGGAGAATGGGGCGGGGTGATGGAAAGCGGGAGAATGGGGCGGGGTGATGGAAAGCGGGAGAATGGGGCGGTGTGATGGAAAGCGGGAGAATGGGGCGGGGTGATGGAAAGCGGGAGAATGGGGCGGGGTGATGGAAAGCGGGAGAATGGGGCGGGGTGATGGAAAGCGGGAGAATGGGGCGGGGTGATGGAAAGCGGGAGAATGGGGCGGGGTGATGGAAAGCGGGAGAATGGGGCGGGGTGATGGAAAGCGGGAGAATGGGGCGGGGTGATGGAAAGCGGGAGAATGGGGCGGGGTGATGGAAAGCGGGAGAATGGGGCGGGGTGATGGAAAGCGGGAGAATGGGGCGGGGTGATGGAAAGCGGGAGAATGGGGCGGGGTGATGGAAAGTGGGAGAATGGGGCGGGGTGATGGAAAGCGGGAGAATGGGGCGGGGTGATGGAAAGCGGGAGAATGGGGCGGGGTGATGGAAAGCGGGAGAATGGGGCGGGGTGATGGAAGGAGGGAGAATGGGGCGGGGTGATGGAAAGCGGGAGAATGGGGTGGGGTGATGGAAAGCGGGAGAATGGGGCGGGGTGATGGAAAGAGGGAAAATGGGGCGGGGTGATGGAAGGAGGGAAAATGGGGCGGGGTGATGGAAAGCGGGAGAAATGGGGCGGGGTGATGGAAAGCGGGAGAATGGGGCGGGGTGATGGAAAGCGGGAGAATGGGGCGGGGTGATGGAAAGCGGGAGAATGGGGCGGGGTGATGGAAAGCGGGAGAATGGGGCGGGGTGATGGAAAGCGGGAGAATGGGGCGGGGTGATGGAAAGCGGGAGAATGGGGCGGGGTGATGGAAAGCGGGAGAATGGGGCGGGGTGATGGAAAGCGGGAGAATGGGGCGGGGTGATGGAAAGCGGGAGAATGGGGCGGGGTGATGGAAAGCGGGAGAATGGGGCGGGGTGATGGAAAGCGGGAGAATGGGGCGGGGTGATGGAAGGAGGGAAAATGGGGCGGGGTGATGGAAGGAGGGAGAATGGGGCGGGGTGATGGAAAGCGGGAGAATGGGGCAGGGTGATCGAAAGCGGGAGAATGGGGTGGGGTGATGGAAAGCGGGAGAATGGGGCGGGTTTATGGAAAGCGGGCGAATGGGGCGGGGTGATGGAAAGCGGGAGAATGGGGCGGGGTGATGGAAAGCGGGAGAATGGGGTGGGGTGATGGAAAGCGGGAGAATGGGGCGGGGTGATGGAAGGAGGGAGAATGGGGCGGGGTGATGGAAAGCGGGCGAATCGGGCGGCGTGATGGAAAGCGGGAGAATGGGGCGGGGTGATGGAAGGAGGGAGAATGGGGCGGGGTGATGGAAAGCGGGAGAATGGGGCGGGGTGATGGAAAGCGGGAGAATGGGGCGGGGTGATGGAAAGCGGGAGAATGGGGCGGGGTGATGGAAAGCGGGAGAATGGGGCGGGTTGATGGAAGGAGGGAGAATGGGGCGGGGAGATGGAAGGAGGGAGAATGGGGCGGGGAGATGGAAGGAGGGAGAATGGGGCGGGGTGATGGAAGGATGGAGAATGGGGCGGGGTGATGGAAAGCGGGAGAATGGGGTGGGGTGATGGAAAGCGGGAGAATGGGGCGGGGTGATGGAAAGCGGGAGAATGGGGCGGGGTGATGGAAAGCGGGAGAATGGGGCGGGGTGATGGAAAGCGGGAGAATGGGGCGGGGTGATGGAAAGCGGGAGAATGGGGCGGGGTGATGGAAGGAGGGAAAATGGGGTGGGGTGATGGAAGGAGGGAGAATGGGGCGGGGTGGAAAGCGGGAGAATGGGGCGGGGTGATGGAAAGCGGGAGAATGGGGCGGGGTGATGGAAAGCGGGAGAATGGGGCGGGGCCATAGAAAGCGGGAGAATGGGGCGGGGCCATAGAAAGCGGGAGAATGGGGTGGGGTGATGGAAAGCGGGAGAATGGGGCGGGGTGATGGAAAGCGGGAGAATGGGGCGGGGTGATGGAAAGCGGGAGAATGGGGCGGGGTGATGGAAAGCGGGAGAATGGGGTTGGGTGATGGAAAGCGGGAGAATGGGGCGGGGTGATGGAAAGCGGGAGAATGGGGCGGGGTGATGGAAAGCGGGAGAATGGGGCGGGGTGATGGAAAGCGGGAGAATGGGGCGGGGTGATGGAAAGCGGGAGAATGGGGCGGGGTGATGGAAAGCGGGAGAATGGGGCGGGGTGATGGAAAGCGGGAGAATGGGGCGGGGTGATGGAAAGCGGGAGAATGGGGCGGGGTGATGGAAAGCGGGAGAATGGGGCGGGGTGATGGAAAGCGGGAAAATGGGGCGGGGTGATGGAAGGAGGGAGAATGGGGCGGGGTGATGGAAGGAGGGAGAATGGGGCGGGGTGATGGAAAGCGGGAGAATGGGGCGGGGTGATGGAAAGCGGGAGAATGGGGCGGGGTGATGGAAAGAGGGAGAATGGGGCGGGGTGATGGAAGGAGGGAAAATGGGGCGGGGTGATGGAAAGCGGGAGAATGGGGCGGGGTGATGGAAAGCGGGAGAATGGGGCGGGGTGATGGAAAGCGGGAGAATGGGGCGGGGTGATGGAAAGCGGGAGAATGGGGCGGGGTGATGGAAAGCGGGAGAATGGGGCGGGGTGATGGAAAGCGGGAGAATGGGGCGGGGTGATGGAAAGCGGGAGAATGGGGCGGGTTGATGGAAGGAGGGAGAATGGGGCGGGGAGATGGAAGGAGGGAGAATGGGGCGGGGAGATGGAAGGAGGGAGAATGGGGCGGGGTGATGGAAGGATGGAGAATGGGGCGGGGTGATGGAAAGCGGGAGAATGGGGCGGGGTGATGGAAAGCGGGAGAATGTGGCGGGGTGATGGAAAGCGGGAGAATGGGGCGGGGTGATGGAAAGCGGGAGAATGGGGCGGGGTGATGGAAAGCGGGAGAATGGGGCGTGGTGATGGAAGGAGGGAGAATGGGGCGGGGTGATGGAATGCGGGAGAATGGGGCGGGGTGATGGAAAGCGGGAGAATGGGGCGGGGTGATGGAAAGCGGGAGAATGGGGCGGGGTGATGGAAAGCGGGAGAATGGGGCGGGGTGATGGAAAGCGGGAGAATGGGGCGGGGTGATGGAAAGCGGGAGAATGGGGCGGGGTGATGGAAGGAGGGAAAATGGGGCGGGGTGATGGAAGGAGGGAGAATGGGGCGGGGTGATGGAAAGCGGGAGAATGGGGCAGGGTGATCGAAAGCGGGAGAATGGGGTGGGGTGATGGAAAGCGGGAGAATGGGGCGGGTTTATGGAAAGCGGGCGAATGGGGCGGGGTGATGGAAAGCGGGAGAATGGAGCGGGGTGATGGAAAGCGGGAGAATGGGGTGGGGTGATGGAAAGCGGGAGAATGGGGCGGGGTGATGGAAGGAGGGAGAATGGGGCGGGGTGATGGAAAGAGGGCGAATCGGGCGGCGTGATGGAAAGCGGGAGAATGGGGCGGGGTGATGGAAGGAGGGAGAATGGGGCGGGGTGATGGAAAGCGGGAGAATGGGGCGGGGTGATGGAAAGCGGGAGAATGGGGCGGGGTGATGGAAAGCGGGAGAATGGGGCGGGGTGATGGAAAGCGGGAGAATGGGGCGGGTTGATGGAAGGAGGGAGAATGGGGCAGGGAGATGGAAGGAGGGAGAATGGGGCGGGGAGATGGAAGGAGGGAGAATGGGGCGGGGTGATGGAAGGATGGAGAATGGGGCGGGGTGATGGAAAGCGGGAGAATGGGGCGGGGTGATGGAAAGCGGGAGAATGGGGCGGGGTGATGGAAAGCGGGAGAATGGGGCGGGGTGATGGAAAGCGGGAGAATGGGGCGGGGTGATGGAAAGCGGGAGAATGGGGCGGGGTGATGGAAAGCGGGAGAATGGGGCGGGGTGATGGAAAGCGGGAGAATGGGGCGGGTTGATGGAAGGAGGGAGAATGGGGCGGGGAGATGGAAGGAGGGAGAATGGGGCGGGGTGATGGAAGGATGGAGAATGGGGCGGGGTGATGGAAAGCGGGAGAATGGGGCGGGGTGATGGAAAGCGGGAGAATGGGGCGGGGTGATGGAAAGCGGGAGACTGGGGCGGGGAGATGGAAAGCGGGAGAATGGGGCGGGGTGATGGAAAGCGGGAGAATGGGGCGGGGTGATGGAAAGCGGGAGAATGGGGCGGGGTGATGGAAGGAGGGAAAATGGGGTGGGGTGATGGAAGGAGGGAGAATGGGGCGGGGTGGAAAGCGGGAGAATGGGGCGGGGTGATGGAAAGCGGGAGAATGGGGCGGGGTGATGGAAAGCGGGAGAATGGGGCGGGGCCATAGAAAGCGGGAGAATGGGGCAGGGTGATGGTAAGCGGGAGAATGGGGTGGGGTGATGGAAAGCGGGAGAATGGGGCGGGGTGATGGAAAGCGGGAGAATGGGGCGGGGTGATGGAAAGCGGGAGAATGGGGCGGGGTGATGGAAAGCGGGAGAATGGGGCGGGGTGATGGAAAGCGGGAGAATGGGGTGGGGTGATGGAAAGCGGGAGAATGGGGCGGGGTGATGGAAAGCGGGAGAATGGGGCGGGGTGATGGAAAGCAGGAGAATGGGGCGGGGTGATGGAAAGCGGGAGAATGGGGCGGGGCGATGGAAAGCGGGAGAATGGGGCGGGGTGATGGAAAGCGGGAGAATGGGGCGGGGTGATGGAAAGCGGGAGAATGGGGCGGGGTGATGGAAGGAGGGAGAATGGGGCGGGGTGATGGAAGGAGGGAGAATGGGGCGGGGTGATGGAAAGCGGGAGAATGGGGTGGGGTGATGGAAAGCGGGAGAATGGGGCGGGGTGATGGAAAGAGGGAGAATGGGGCGGGGTGATGGAAGGAGGGAAAATGGGGCGGGGTGATGGAAAGCGGGAGAATGGGGCGGGGTGATGGAAAGCGGGAGAATGGGGCGGGGTGATGGAAAGCGGGAGAATGGGGCGGGGTGATGGAAAGCGGGAGAATGGAGTGGGGTGATGGAAAGCGGGAGAATGGGGCGGGGTGATGGAAAGCGGGAGAATGGGGCGGGGTGATGGAAAGCGGGAGAATGGGGCGGGGTGATGGAAAGCGGGAGAATGGGGCGGGGTGATGGAAAGCGGGAGAATGGGGCGGGGTGATGGAAAGCGGGAGAATGGGGCGGGGTGATGGAAAGCGGGAGAATGGGGCGGGGTGATGGAAAGCGGGAGAATGGGGCGGGGTGATGGAAGGAGGGAAAATGGGGCGGGGTGATGGAAGGAGGGAGAATGGGGCGGGGTGATGGAAAGCGGGAGAATGGGGCGGGGTGATGGAAAGCGGGAGAATGGGGCGGGGTGATGGAAAGCGGGAGAATGGGGCGGGGTGATGGAAAGCGGGAGAATGGGGCGGGTTGATGGAAGGAGGGAGAATGGGGCGGGGAGATGGAAGGAGGGAGAATGGGGCGGGGAGATGGAAGGAGGGAGAATGGGGCGGGGTGATGGAAGGATGGAGAATGGGGCGGGGTGATGGAAAGCGGGAGAATGGGGCGGGGTGATGGAAAGCGGGAGAATGGGGCGGGGTGATGGAAAGCGGGAGAATGGGGCGGGGTGATGGAAAGCGGGAGAATGGGGCGGGGTGATGGAAGGAGGGAGAATGGGGCGGGGTGATGGAAAGCGGGAGAATGGGGTGGGGTGATGGAAAGCGGGAGAATGGGGCGGGGTGATGGAAAGAGGGAGAATGGGGCGGGGTGATGGAAGGAGGGAAAATGGGGCGGGGTGATGGAAAGCGGGAGAATGGGGCGGGGTGATGGAAGGAGGGAGAATGGGGCGGGGTGATGGAAAGCGGGAGAATGGGGTGGGGTGATGGAAAGCGGGAGAATGGGGCGGGGTGATGGAAAGCGGGAGAATGGGGCGGGGTGATGGAAAGCGGGAGAATGGGGCGGGGTGATGGAAAGCGGGAGAATGGGGCGGGGTGATGGAAGGAGGGAAAATGGGGCGGGGTGATGGAAGGAGGGAGAATGGGGCGGGGTGATGGAAAGCGGGTGACTGGGGCAGGGTGATCGAAAGCGGGAGAATGGGGTGGGGTGATGGAAAGCGGGAGAATGGGGCGGGTTTATGGAAAGCGGGCGAATGGGGCGGGGTGATGGAAAGCGGGAGAATGGGGCGGGGTGATGGAAAGCGGGAGAATGGGGTGGGGTGATGGAAAGCGGGAGAATGGGGCGGGGTGATGGAAGGAGGGAGAATGGGGCGGGGTCATGGAAAGCGGGCGAATCGGGCGGCGTGATGGAAAGCGGGAGAATGGGGCGGGGTGATGGAAGGAGGGAGAATGGGGCGGGGTGATGGAAAGCGGGAGAATGGGGCGGGGTGATGGAAAGCAGGAGAATGGGGCGGGGTGATGGAAAGCGGGAGAATGGGGCGGGGTGATGGAAAGCGGGAGAATGGGGCGGGTTGATGGAAGGAGGGAGAATGGGGCGGGGAGATGGAAGGAGGGAGAATGGGGCGGGGAGATGGAAGGAGGGAGAATGGGGCGGGGTGATGGAAGGAGGGAGAATGGGGCGGGGTGATGGAAAGCGGGAGAATGGGGCGGGGTGATGGAAAGCGGGAGAATGGGGCGGGGTGATGGAAAGCGGGAGAATGGGGCGGGGTGATGGAAAGCGGGAGAATGGGGCGGGGTGATGGAAAGCGGGAGAATGGGGCGGGGTGATGGAAAGCGGGAGAATGGGGCGGGGTGATGGAAGGAGGGAAAATGGGGTGGGGTGATGGAAGGAGGGAGAATGGGGCGGGGTGATGGAAAGCGGGAGAATGGGGCGGGGTGATGGAAAGCGGGAGAATGGGGCGGGGTGATGGAAAGCGGGAGAATGGGGCGGGGTGATGGAAAGCGGGAGAATGGGGCAGGGTGATGGAAAGCGGGAGAATGGGGTGGGGTGATGGAAAGCGGGAGAATGGGGCGGGGTGATGGAAAGCGAGAGAATGGGGCGGGGTGATGGAATGCCGGAGAATGGGGCGGGGTGATGGAAAGCGGGAGAATGGGGCGAGGTGATGGAAGGAGGGAGAATGGGGCGGGGTGATGGAAAGCGGGAGAATGGGGCGGGTTGATGGAAAGCGGGAGAATGGGGCGGGGTGATGGAAAGCGGGAGAATGGGGCGGGGTGATGGAAAGCGGGAGAATGGGGCGGGGTGATGGAAGGAGGGAGAATGGGGCGGGGTGATGGAAAGCGGGAGAATGGGGCGGGGTGATGGAAAGCGGGAGAATGGGGCGGGGTGATGGAAAGCGGGAGAATGGGGCGGGGTGATGGAAAGCGGGAGAATGGGGCGGGGTGATGGAAAGCGGGAGAATGGGGCGGGGTGATGGAAGGAGGGAAAATGGGGCGGGGTGATGGAAGGAGGGAGAATGGGGCGGGGTGATGGAAGGAGGGAGAATGGGGCGGGGTGATGGAAAGCGGGAGAATGGGGCGGGGTGATGGAAAGCGGGAGAATGGGGCAGGGTGATGGAAAGCGGGAGAATGGGGCGGGGTGATGGAAAGCGGGAGAATGGGGCGGGGTGATGGAAAGCGGGAGAATGGGGCGGGGTGATGGAAAGCGGGAGAATGGGGCGGGGTGATGGAAGGAGGGAGAATGGGGCGGGGTGATGGAAAGCGGGAGAATGGGGCGGGGAGATGGAAGGAGGGAGAATGGGGCGGGGTGATGGAAGGAGGGAGAATGGGGCGGGGTGATGGAAAGCGGGAGAATGGGGCGGGGTGATGAAAAGCGGGAGAATGGGGCGGGGTGATGGAAAGCGGGAGAATGGGGCGGGGTGATGGAAAGCGGGAGAATGGGGCGGGGTGATGGAAAGCGGGAGAATGGGGCGGGGTGATGGAAAGCGGGAGAATGGGGCGGTGTGATGGAAAACGGGAGAATGGGGCGGGGTGATGGAAAGCGGGAGAATGGGGCGGGGTGATGGAAAGCGGGAGAATGGGGCGGGGTGATGGAAAGCGGGAGAATGGGGCGGGGTGATGGAAAGCGGGAGAATGGGGCGGGGTGATGGAAAGCGGGAGAATGGGGCGGGGTGATGGAAAGCACGAGAATGGGGCGGGGTGATGGAAAGCGGGAGAATGGGGCGGGTTTATGGAAAGCGGGAGAATGGGGCGGGGTGATGGAAAGCGGGAGAATGGGGCGGGGTGATGGAAAGCGGGAGAATGGGGCGGGGTGATGGAAAGCGGGAGAATGGGGCGGGGTGATGGAAAGCGGGAGAATGGGGCGGGGTGATGGAAAGCCGGAGAATGGGGCGGGGTGATGGAAAGCCGGAGAATGGGGCGGGATGATGGAAAGCGGGAGAATGGGGCGGGGTGATGGAAGGAGCGAGAATGGGACGGGGTGATGAAAGGAGGGAGAGTGGGGCAAGGTGATGGAATGCGGAAGAATGGGGGCGGGGTGATGGAAAGCGGGAGAATGGGGCGGGGTGATGGAAAGCGGGAGAACGGGGCGGGGTGATGGAAAGCGGGAGAATGGGGCAGGGTGATGGAAGGAGGGAGAATGGGGCGGGGTGATGGAAAGCGGCAGAATGGGGCGGGGTGATGGAAGGAGGGAAAATGGGGCGGGGTGATGGAAAGCGGGAGAATGGGGCGGGGTGATGGAAAGCGGGAGAATGGGGCGGGGTGATGGAAGGAGGGAAAATGGGGCGGGGTGATGGAAGGAGGGAGAATGGGGCGGGGTGATGGAAGGAGGGAGAATGGGGCGGGGTGATGGAAAGCGGGAGAATGGGGCGGGGTGATGGAAAGCGGGAGAATGGGGCGGGGTGATGGAAAGCGGGAGAATGGGGCGGGATGATGGAAAGCGGGAGAATGGGGCGGGGTGATGGAAGGAGCGAGAATGGGACGGGGTGATGAAAGGAGGGAGAGTGGGGCAGGGTGATGGAATGCGGAAGAATGGGGACGGTGTGATGGAAAGCGGGAGAATGGGGCGGGGTGATGGAAAGCGGGAGAATGGGGCGGGGTGATGGAAAGCGGGAGAATGGGGCGGGGTGATGGAAAGCGGGAGAATGGGGCGGGGTGATGGAAAGCGGGAGAATGGGGCGGGGTGATGGAAAGCGGGAGAATGGGGCGGGGTGATGGAAGGAGGGATAATGGGGCGGGGTGATGGTAAGCGGGAGAATGGGGCGGGGTGATGGAAAGCGGGAGAATGGGGCGGGGTGATGGAAAGCGGGAGAATGGGGTGGGGTGATGGAAAGCGGGAGAATGGGGCGGGGTGATGGAAAGCGGGAGAATGGGGCGGGGTGATGGAAAGCGGGAGAATGGGGCGGGGTGATGGAAAGCCGGAGAATGGGGCGGGGCGATGGAAAGCCGGAGAATGGGGCGGGATGATGGAAAGCGGGAGAATGGGGCGGGGTGATGGAAGGAGCGAGAATGGGACGGGTGGATGAAAGGAGGGAGAGTGGGGCAGGGTGATGGAATGCGGAAGAATGGGGGCGGGGTGATGGAAAGCGGGAGAATGGGGCGGGGTGATGGAAAGCGGGAGAATGGGGCGGGGTGATGGAAAGCGGGAGAATGGGGCGGGGTGATGGAAAGCGGGAGAATGGGGCGGGGTGATGGAAAGCGGGAGAATGGGGCGGGGTGATGGAAGGAGGGAAAATGGGGCGGGGTGATGGAAGGAGGGAGAATGGGGCGGGGTGATGGAAGGAGGGAGAATGGGGCGGGGTGATGGAAAGCGGGAGAATGGGGCGGGGTGATGGAAAGCGGGAGAATGGGGCGGGGTGATGGAAAGCGGGAGAATGGGGCGGGTTGATGGAAAGCGGGAGAATGGGGCGGGGTGATGGAAAGCGGGAGAATGGGGCGGGGTGATGGAAAGCGGGAGAATGGGGCGGGGTGATGGAAGGAGGGAGAATGGGGCGGGGTGATGGTAAGTGGGGAGAATGGGGCGGGGTGATGGAAAGCGGGAGAATGGGGCGGGGTGATGGAAAGCGGGAGAATGGGGCGGGGTGATGGAAAGCGGGAGAATGGGGCGGGGTGATGGAAAGCGGGAGAATGGGGCGGGGTGATGGAAGGAGGGAAAATGGGGCGGGGTGATGGAAGGAGGGAGAATGGGGCGGGGTGATGGAAGGAGGGAGAATGGGGCGGGGTGATGGAAGCGGGAGAATGGGGCGGGGTGATGGAAAGCGGGAGAATGGGGCGGGGTGATGGAAAGCGGGAGAATGGGGCGGGGTGATGGAAAGCGGGAGAATGGGGCGGGGTGATGGAAAGCGGGAGAATGGGGCGGGGTGATGGAAAGCGGGAGAATGGGGCGGGGTGATGGAAAGCGGGAGAATGGGGCGGGGTGATGGAAAGCGGGAGAATGGGGCGGGGTGATGGAAAGCGGGAGAATGGGGCGGGGTGATGGAAAGCGGGAGAATGGGGCGGGGTGATGGAAAGCGGGAGAATGGGGCGGGGTGATGGAAAGGGGGAGAATGGGGCGGGGTGATGGAAAGCGGGAGAATGGGGCGGGGTGATGGAAAGCGGGAGAATGGGGCGGGGTGATGGAAAGCGGGAGAATGGGGTGGGGTGATGGAAAGCGGGAGAATGGGGCGGGGTGATGGAAAGCGGGAGAATGGGGCGGGGTGATGGAAAGCGGGAGAATGGGGCGGGGTGATGGAAAGCCGGAGAATGGGGCGGGGCGATGGAAAGCCGGAGAATGGGGCGGGATGATGGAAAGCGGGAGAATGGGGCGGGGTGATGGAAGGAGCGAGAATGGGACGGGGTGATGAAAGGAGGGAGAGTGGGGCAGGGTGATGGAATGCGGAAGAATGGGGGCGGGGTGATGGAAAGCGGGAGAACGGGGCGGGGTGATGGAAAGCGGGAGAACGGGGCGGGGTGATGGAAAGCGGGAGAATGGGGCAGGGTGATGGAAGGAGGGAGAATGGGGCGGGGAGATGGAAGGAGGGAGAATGGGGCGGGGTGATGGAAGGAGGGAGAATGGGGCGGGGTGATGGAAAGCGGGAGAATGGGGCGGGGTGATGGAAAGCGGGAGAATGGGGCGGGGTGATGGAAAGCGGGAGAATGGGGCGGGATGATGGAAAGCGGGAGAATGGGGCGGGGT